ATATTTATATTTATATCTATATCTATATCTATATCTATATCTATATTTAGATATATTTATATATATAAATTTATATATATTATATTTATATAAAATATAAAAAATTAATATATAAAAGTTATAAAATATATAAAATATATAAAAAATATAAAATATAAAAGACAAAGAAAATAAAAATATATCAAAATATATAAAATATATAAAATAAAATATGTAAAATATAAAGAAAGTAAAAATCCGTGATCTCGCAGCCCCCTCAAGCTGTTCCCAGAAAATTCCCGGTTTTCCTAAGGGAAAGATTTTCCCTCCCCCCGGGGCCAGGCCGGATTTTTGGGATCGGGATCCCAAAAAATTCCCGGTTCTTGGAGATCTTTTTCCCAAGGGAAAGGATTTGGGGAGGAAGGCTCGGATTTTTGGGATCCCGGCTGGAATTCCACAGCTGGATCCCGGCTGGAATTCCAATCTGGATCCCAGCTGGAATTCTGATCTGGATCCTGGCTGGAATTCTGATCTGGATCCCAGCTGGAATTCCAATCTGGATCCCAGCTGGAATTCTGATCTGGATCCTGGCTGGAATTCCACAGCTGGATCCCGGCTGGAATTCCACAGCTGGATCCTGGCTGGAATTCCGATCTGGATCCTGGCTGGATTTCTGATCTGGATCCCGGCTGGAATTCCACAGCTGGATCCCGGCTGGAATTCCGATCTGGATCCTGGCTGGAATTTCCCGCTCCTGGGAAAGCCCCCGGGGGCCGGGAATGCTCCAGGGATGCTCCAGCTCGGGATTCCCGGGAATGTTTTGGATACCTGGGAATGCTCCGGTTTGGGGCCTCCCCAGATTCCAGCTCGGGATTCCCGGGAATTCCCTGATTTGGGATCCCCTGGGATTCTCTGGATTCCCGGGAATTCTCCGTTTTGGGGTCTCCAGGGATGCTCAGGATTCCTGGGAATGCTCGGGTTTGGGTCCCTGGGAATGCTCTGGGATCCCGGGAATGTTCCAGCTCAGGATTCCCGGGAATTCTGTGCTCTGGAATTCCCGGAATGTTCCAGCTCAGGATTCCCGGGAATTCTCCCCTTTGGAATTCCCAGGAATGTTCCAGCTCAGGATTCCCATGAATTCTCCCCTCTGGAATCCCGGGAATGTTCCGGCTCAGGATTCCCGGGAATTCTCCCCTTTGGAATCCCGGGAATGTTCCAGCTCAGGATTCCCAGGAATTCTCCCCTCTGGAATCCCGGGAATTCCGCGATTTGGGGGGAGTCACCCTGAATCCCTCGGGATCAATTTTGGGGGTTGCAAAGGGGATCCCAAAAATCCCAAATTTCC